AGCTGGAATTCAAATACAGTTCTCTGTTTCCACAATCGGAGTCACGCTCCATTACTCCACCATGCCTCCGATATATATATATATATATATATAATGCCCATACCTATATATATATATATATATTTTGATAAACGTGCAATCAATTTACAAATTCATGAATTATACACACATAATAATAATAATAATAAGTTGTGCGTTCATGTACAAATATGGTGATGAACAAATTTTTTACTGGTAAATTTTCTGTCAAAGTGGCATGAACTATATTGTTCAATAATTACAGTAATGTCGCACTTATTATCCAAAAGTCGCACTTGGATCAGTTATTTTAATTTCGATAAACGTGCAATCAATTTACAAATTCATGAATTATTCACACAACTGTAAAAAATTTTAAATCAAACTCAGCGTTGCTATTGCACACTCCAAAAACAATAACTCATTTCCAATAGCATTTTCGGATACAACAATACATATATTTTCGTTGTCCTCTTATTAATAAGCGAAAAAACAAGAACAACATCTATTCCATACCTGAAGATGTCTGTAGGAACAGACGAAAGCTTGTAGTAAAAATAAGAACTAATGCGGCAGAAATTTATAGAAACAAGGATCTTTTCATTCATAACGGATTCGGGAGGTTTTTGTATATTATTTGAATTGTTTGCGACGATGGATTTCTCACCAATTAAATCATTAAATTTGTTTTTTGAAATTCATGAATATATATATATATATATATATATATATATATATATAATATATAATACCTATATATATATATATGTGTATATATATATATATATATATATATATATATATAATGCCTATACCTATATATATATATATATATATATATATATATATATATATATATATATATATATATAATGCCCATACCTATATATATATATATATATATATATATAATGCCCATACTATATATATATATATATATATATATATATATATATATATATATATATATATATATATATAATGCCCATACTATATATATATATATATATATATATATATACCTATATATATATATATATATATATATATATATATATATAATGCCCATACCTATAAACAATAATGGGTATGTCCCCATTCACATAAATACAGTAGTAAATACTGTATGTTGGTCTGCAGTTGGAGATTCATTGTGGAATTCACTTGACTCATTTCTAGCAGTTGATTACTTTTACGCACCAATGGCGATTCTTATATGTGTTGTTCTTGTCCTAAGTATTATCATTCATTACCAACCTTTGTTTGATTATTCTATTCAGTAACCTTCCCTAGGTTATAACAAATATATTCTTTTGTTTTAGAGTAAAATACAGTGATGTTCGATAAAAGTGACTCACCTGATTTTTTTTACTAAAAATATTTTTGTCTATTGTTTTTGGGGTTAAAATAATTTTTAATCTTACTAATATAAAGACCCCTTCCCGACCACCTAATAAAAAAGTTTACTCACCCTAAGGTATTCTATCGATAATTATAATTTTGGATATTAATGAGATTTAGGGAAAAACTCTGTGCAAAAAACTGACTCACTTATTTCCTGCAACTAGTAATCAATAGAAACATAACCGAACAGCTTTAAATAAAGAATAATAGAGGTATAATTTATTTATAATAGGTAATATAGTTCGAAATATTTAATAATCTATGGGTCCTCCTTTATTTTGAATACCCTTTTCAACCCTTTTTTGGCATTGACTTGATTAGGTTCTGGCAAATCTCATCTCCAAGCATTGAATTCCATTCGGATATGAAATTCACAATAAAATCCTCTTTATTGCTCAACTACTTTCTCGAGAGCCTGTACTTTATAATGCACCATAAGTTTTCTATGCGATTCAGGTCAGGAGATTGGGGTGACCATGTCATAACACTTACCTGCTTCTCATCAAACTATTCCTTCATCAATTTTGATTTATGACAGGGAGAATTATCCTGCATAAAAATGAGCTTGTGGGGGTCGATTTGCACACTTTCAGCAGAAGGGAGCAGACAAGACTCTAAAATTCTCTTGTACTGCTCGCTCCTGAGGGTCTTTTTAATAGGTTTTAGGAAACCAGTTCCATGAAAAGAAAAGCATCCCCAGAAGATTATACTGAATGGATGCTTGACAGTACTTACTGCTAAATTCAAAGAGCTTGCAAAGCTTCTTCTTCGGATTTTAGTTCGCTTATCCTTTGAATTTAGTTCAACTTTCGTTTCATCGAAGAGAATATTCTTCCAGTCTTCCACGGTGAAATTTTTGTAATAATGAGCCCATTCAAGTCTCTTGGCTTTGCTGGCTTTGCTTATTAGTGGCTTAAATCTTCGTGTACAAGATTTGTAGCCTTGTTCTAACAGCCACCGACGGACTGTTGAAGAGGAAAGACTAACACCTTGCTCTTCGCTTCGACTGACTGCAATTTCTTGTCTAGTTATAGTCCTATTCTTTGCAACTTCTCTCTTGATTACCCTGCCAGTTCTATCATCAATCTTTTTCTTTTGTCCCCTTGTTTCCTTCTTTGGAGCAGGAGTGGCATCATTATGTGCCCTGCGAGGTTATAGCAATTTCTGCAATTTCGCTTGTAGACTTGCCTGCTCTTGAGAGAGCAATAATAGATGCCTTAACTGGTTCTGAGTGGCTATTACAAGCTGTTTTTATACTGTATGTGGCTTTCTGGAATACTCTAGATTTTTTAAGCTATTCTAGAATTCTCTAGAATATTGTCCTGCGTGTATTGTAAAATAGTTTTCAATATTTTGTCAAAAGCTCTTTAAATTTACCAGTTTAATCATTAGAATGTGATATCTGAGTCACTTTTTTTGCACAGTTTTTTCCTGAATCTCATTTATATCCAAATTTATAATTATCAATAGAATACCTTAGGGTGAATAAACTTTTTCCTAGGTGGTCGAGAAGGGGTATTTATATTAGTAAGATTCAAAATTATTTTAACCCCAAAAACAATAGACAAAAAATATTTTTAGTAAAAAAATCAGTTGAGTCACTTTTATCGAACAGCACTGTATGTTACAAATAAAGAAGAGTAGAATTCAGTTTTTCCACATATGACATCCTGGTCTTGTGCTTCTAATATGTATTTCAGGATTCCTGATAAAATATAAAGAAGGATGTTATTGTTCCTAAGATGGCATCTCCATTTAAGTTATTTTTTTCTGATTGCTGTAACATAGGTTCAGTGTGCTTTTTCTATATATATATATTTATTATGGTAATTGTTCTGATGAACTTTCTGCTATGAACTTAAGCATAGTTCTAGATTGGCAGCTAGGTCTCATCATTTTACAGTTGAAATGCCTAGATGTAACCATAAGTTCTATGCTAACAGCTTCTTAATCTGATAAGTATGTTCATGGCATTTGTTCTGATGAACTTTCCTCTTTGGTACCTAGACTTTATGAATTTAAGCATAGTACTAGATTGGCAGTTAGGTCTCATCGTTTTACAGTTGAAATGGCAAGATGTAACCATAATTGCCATGCCAACAGTTACTCCTCTTGCACTTCTCATTTGTGAAACTCTTTTCCGACTTCTTGCTTTCCAATCAACTTTCATTATCAAAAATTTAAATGCATTGTCAATTATCATTTTCTGTTTTCTTAATTCCTGTTCTTTTATTATTCTCTCTTTTATAGTTTTTTTTTCCTCAAATTCTCTTTCATTCAGTAACCCCTTGCATCTTGGTGGGTTTTATGGACAATTTTGGGTTGGCGAGGCTATCTAAACCATAATTTGAGGTTTTGAATTCAGAGTTGTCTTTCTCATAAACCAACTGCCAACCAAGGCTACTGGACACAATCTGTCCTGCTGTTTACCCATATCTGTGGGGGAGAAGTGAGATTCATAACTTCCCCAAATATAAGTGCTAACTCTTTCACACTTCTCGCATCTTAGTGCCTTTATTGCCTTGGTTGGAGTAAAAAAAAATACTGATTATCTACCATACAAACGGTAGTTTGTTTTACATTCTACTTGGTTAAAGTCGATTGGAACTTATCTAGGAAGATGAGCGAAAGTTTCTTTCTTTTTTTTTCCTCTGTTAACATTTTCCATTATCTTTCATTTCAAAGAGAGGTTATATCTCCATCCACAAGCATATTCTATATTGTTCCATCATTGTCCACTTTGTGCTTACTCTGAAGCCGACTAAAAGGAGGAGCCTGTCCAGCGGCTGTGTAACTGGAACAGATGTAAGATTTGATGAGGGTTGCATTTTTCATAACAAGCAGGCTTCACTCTCGGGAAAGATTGAATCGGCAATGCCTGATACTCAACATCTCCTTCAAAGAATCTACAGCTCGCCACCATGTGCAGGAGACAAAAATGATATCATCACAAATAAGAAAGCATTAAACACGTGTCTTTAATAAATAATCACAACCCATATCAAAGAAATACTTGTTCCTCATGACCCTCTAGAATCCCCAGACATGCTTTCTTGCAAATAAGATGATTAGAATCAGCACTTCAATTACAATACAGCGATACAATCCATGTGCATCTTTGTGAGAATACAATTTTAGTGCTCTGTTATTTTGTCTTAAGTAGCAGCCTTGGCCATTGCAAAGAATGGCAGTATCACGATGTAAATGCTTAAGCAAACTGAATATCAACCATTGCCAAGAAAAGAGATTTTGTGTCATTTAAGAGATGATGCATTTGTTTTATTTATTTTGTTCTAAGCATAGCTTGACACAGCTTAAAGCATTTTCTTTGTGGGTAAAATCTGTTTCAAAAGTAGTTTCAACACATCGTCAGAACATTCTTTATTCAGTCTCTGTGTACAATGAAAAATGTTGTCCTTCACTGTGTCACCTGAAGACATTTGATGCAAAAGTATCCACTCACGCATTTTATACAATATGAGAAAAATCTGAGAAGCATCTCTGAAATTGGCTCAGATCTTTATCCCTTATGTAACTAATATTATTTACAATTATTCTAATGCTTATGTCCGCATCACATTGAAACACCAGTTTCTGTACAATCATCAAAGTTGAGCAACATCGAGCCTGGTCAGTACCTAGATGGGTGACCACTTGGAAATACCAGGTGCTGTAAGCTTGGATGTACAGGGGGTGTAATGGATAACAGCTCAGAATTTTTAATCGGACAGCTAAGTTCCAATTCCCATTGGGTTCGTTATATTCACTTACATGTAAATACCCTTTGGAAAGGTATGAATCCACCTCTTCTCCCCTCAGCTATGGGTTAATTAGTAAGACTTGTATCACTAAACTATTATTATCACAAAAAAAATTGTTACAATCTAAAAATATTTTCTTTAAAAACTTTAAAAATCTGCGAAGGGTTGATACGCCATAGACAACAAATCAGTTCATCAATGAAATACTGATTAGTTATACAGTGATGTCTCTTAGATTTATTTACATTCTCTAGTATATAAATATATAGAATACTGTGACCACAAAATGAGGGATCAGTTTATGTACTGATTGTAATATAGAATTGACCCCCCTATTTTATATCCACATCAAAATCAAATTCTGATTAGATATAAATCCACTTCTCCTGCTCTCTCCCCAGCTATGGGTTAATTAGTAAGACTTGTATTACAAGACCATTATTATCTCAAAAAAAATTTTACAAACTAAAAATATTTTCTGAGTTTAAATAACCTGAAAAGGTTGATAAGCCATAAAAAACGAATCAACCAACTAGTAATCCTTCTCCTCCTTCTTCTATATACCATGTCCTTTCAAAATATAGGCGATCATCGTTCTCCACAACTTCCAATTATTTAAGGCTCTTAATAAGGTTTCTTCTTTTCACCGTCCCTCCCAGCCACTGTTCTACCATTCATTTACATAAGCTCGTTTGGTAGTTTACTCGCTGTTTCTTTCAGGCCCTCTTGAAATCAATATGTCCTGTGAGTGTCAAATTCTCCAAACCCTCTTTCCTCATTATGTATCTGGGAAATTTCAATTGTCTCTTTGTGATTCAAAATATAAGTGTCCTTTTTGTTTCCATTTTCCTTAAAACTTCCTCATTACTCACATTCAAGCCATAGTATTCTCAGCATCCTTCTGTAGAACAACATCTTTGTTGCTCCAAGTCACTTCCCAATCTTTTTTGAAATGATCCAGCATTCACACAGTTTAGCACACTTTTCTTTATTTTTAATGAGATTTTCCAGCTTCTTAATACTTTGCATAGCATTTGGAAGGCATTTTTCACTATTCCAGTAAGTATCTGTTGTTAGTATAAACATTATATTTAGTGATATTCAAGTTTTTGAGTAGATATCCTTGTGTTTTTTTAACAGTGAAATTCTATCTCCCAGCATAGAAATTGAAAGTCTTACTGAAGAAAATAAATCTTTCAGCAGGAATTGAACCTATATTCCCTTTTTGAACTTGTAAGTGATTTTCAAGTCAGATTTGCTTTACATTTAAGCTACCAGAAGCTGTTACAGCAAAGCAAGTCTTAATTTTCTTATTTAAGAAATAAACATCTCATGGGACATTTCAGTTTATATCTGCTAATTTTTATTTTTTGTAAATGGAGACATAAACAAAGTAATTATTAAGCAATTCTTCTTTATGTGCCATGTCCCCCTGAGAATGTAGACGATCATAGCTCTCCACAACTTCCTGTCCCTTGTAGCTTTTAATAAGCTTTGTTTTTCTATTATTTCTCCTAAGCACTGTTCCACTATGCATTTACTCAAATTCACTTAGTATGTTATGAGTTATTTTCCTCTGTCCTTCTTGACTGCAATCTGTCCAGTGAGTATCAGATTTTCTAAGCTCTCCTTCCTCATTATGTGACCTAGAAACCTCAACCGTTTTTTTCCTAATGTTAAGTATTAGTTTCCTTTCTGTTTCCATTTTTCTCCAAAAATATATAGTTTTAAGGTCTGCTATATTTATGGGTAAAAGTGCTCAATATCAGGGATAGAGGATATGTAAAGTTAACAAGCTGGACTATGAAGTAGCTAGAAATAACTGCATTCAAATCCACAGTTATTTCTACTCAATAGTATTTAGAATAATTTGAAACATAATCATTGGCACCCACTGAATAACCATCAGGATAATACGAAATACTACCCATAACACACCATTGACAGGCATGAAATTTACTGTGGCTGCTGTTTTTTTACTTTATATACAGCACCTTTTATACGCATGCACATGAACACACACACACACATATATATATATATATATATATATATATATATATATATATATAATAATACAGATTGTATTTCATAAAAAATCTCTATTTCTGAGATGTAGTATTATGTATACTATTTACATTAATCAGACTATTGTCCTCATCTTTATTTAACACAGCATTTCGGCCATTGTATGCTCCGGCCTTCTTCAGGTGGTTGGAATGTTGAACAGGACCCTTTTTTTCACTCACTGGGGTAGACTGTTCTAGTTCCATAGTCCATGTCTAATGGATGTCAGTTATCAGTTACCTCCTGTTAATTCACCTCTCCAGGTTTTCCACTGCTTTAACCAGGACACAAGAGTTGTGAGTTCATCACAACTCTTGTGTCCTGTCACTGGATCTAACCAACATCTTTATCCAATGTGCCATGTGTCCTTGTATATAGTAGAATTAGTGGAGTAATGGATTGCAGCTCAGATTGTGAAATTGGAGAGCTGAGTTTGAATTCCAGTTGAGTTCATTACATTCACTTACCTCCTTAGGAAAGGTATAAATCCATTTCTTCTACCCCGCCGCCAGCTATTGGCAAAATAACAGGACAAACTGGGTTCTATATCCATGGATGGCAACTAGTCTAGGAGAATGAAAAACTGAAATCAAAACCTCTAACTATAAATAAATATTAGGGCAGTCAGGGCTCTGTAGCCAAGGTTTGCAACCACACTAGGACACCTCTGAATTCAAATCCAGAGCTAGAGTCCCAAGAACAGCTTGATGTCATGTTGAATTTCATTCTGGCAACTCCTGTGACAACACTGGTGCCAAGCTGTATCAGCCTCTGCCTTTCCTTTGGACAACATTGGTGACATGGAGTGGGGAGACGTGCTGCATGATCTCTCATAAAACTCTGACCAGGCCTGCACCCTAGATCCATGGTCTCTCAAGATCAACAGTTACCATATATATATATATATATATATATATATATATATATATATATATATATATATATGCCAGGTGTAACAGCAAAATTGCCCAATTGTTAGATTAAGCTTTGAACCATTATATCTTAGAAATAATTCAAGACATCTCACTGGAATTCTCTGAGGTTTTTATAACACTATTGAACTCTGCTTTGAACAATAAAAATGAATTTAGCCTTAAGTTGAAATGATGATCTCCCTTGTTGCTGTGACCTCCTGATCCACTTTTCATCTCTACTGTTCCCTATTTTTAAGATTTATTCACCGTTCTCTTGATGGTTCTTCAATGGACTTTGAATATGGAAGCCAGAGTTTGAATGTTGGTACCATTACTGAAGACCTGAATGATCTGTTTCCTCTCACCGTTGCTCAGTTGGGATCATATAGTAGGGCTGACACAAAACGATTTTAGCCTGTTCTCTTTCTAGCTGAATAACTCAAAGTGTTTTTCAGTGATTCTTACGACAGATGGAGTCAACATTGGTAAATGAATAAATCTGAAAACCTGGAAAAAAGAAATTCGATTAGTTTAGTGGTTTTTAGGTACTAAAGATTTAGTGGGGTAGCCAATTATTCCATGCTGTTACACCCAGTATATATAATGAAAAAAAATATAGTTATTTTATATTTATGGATATAAACGCTCAATATCAGGGATAGGGTGTATGTAAGTATAAAAGTGGACACTGAGGTCAACACAGTATTCTGGCTTGAAGATTGTGTTGAAGTATGAAACAGACTGTCGCCACTCAGTATTGACCTCAGTGCCCAGTTTTATATATATATATATATATATATATATAGTACAGGTAACCAATCCATTGGTATATAACCCATAACTCATGTCTGCTAGATCTCAATTTACAAAAAGGTAGTATTCATATAAAATACAAATTTTATTCTAACCTAATTATGTATAATAATGGATCATATGCAACATAGATGTGCAATTCAACTAGAAAAACTTAAAATAAATACAATGTATCTAAATACAAATTAGAGACACTTCATAATAGATCATTCCATCTTAAATAAATCAATGTTTTGTCACAATTTTTAACATCAGCTTGAGATTTTTCTTCTTAAAAAGTTAAATAATTTCAACACATTCAACATTATAGATAAAACATAGACTTATGTTTTTTTAGACTTATTGTAAGCAAAACAAATTTGCAGATTTGTACACAGAAAAAAAAGAAACCTCAGAATGACGACAAAATCTGTGAAAATTTTTAATCCTTTAATAATCAGTTGTGCTTAATTTAATTTGTAATGTATATAAATGTAAACAGAAAAAAAGCAAATGTTGATAAAATAGTGAGGGTCACAAAGCATTGCCCAGAACTCCAATAAGAATCTGAATGTAAATATTGTAAATAATAATAGCTCCTCCTTCCAGAAATTCAGATTGAAATAAATTCATCATGTCTTGCAGTAAATCTCTTTAAAAAAAAAATGATTTTCAGTGATTAATTGACTAATTGCTTTATATCTTCTCTAACGATCAGTCATGATTGATTTTTTTCTTTTTTTGCTGATTTCCTTCCTCAGATTTTAAGTCTAATGAGTTAAAAGATGAAATAATTTTTCTCCTATTTCCACGTTTTCTGTAACAGCTTCTCGTCCATAATTGTATGTAGATTTTTAGCTGAATTTTCATTATCATTATTTCAAAATGCTTCTATTCTTTTTATGTGCCATGTCCTTTCAGGATGTAGGCAATCATGGATTTCCACCTCCCTCTATCCCTTGCAGCTCTTAACAAGTTCATTTCCTCTGCTTCCTCCCCCAGACCACATTCTGTCATTCACTTGCTTAAGTCCACCAGGTATGTCAAGCATTGTTTTCCCTTGTCTCTCTTTCCTTCTATTCGACCCATGAGTATCAGATTCTCCAGCCCCTCCTTCCTCATTATGTGTCCCAGAAACTTCAG